TGTCTCTTTCTTTCTGGCGAGTGCACGCGCCCTGTAGTAAAAACCTCTCAAAAAAAAAAAAAAGCTTATTTGAAAACATTAAACATGGAATTACCATATAAGACAGCATAACTTTTCTGGGTATATACCTACGAGAATCGAAAGCAGAGACTTATACATGATACTCAGTTGTGCAATGTTCATAGCGTTATTCACAATAGCTAAAAGATGGAAACAACCCAAAATGCCCATTGTTGGATGAATGGATAAACAAAATGTGTACATAATGAAATATAATTCGGCCTTTAAAAAGAAATCCTGACACTTACTACAACATGGATGAACCATGAAGAGGCTAAGTAAAATAAGTCAGATGAGGGAATAAGCAGGTGGCGTGGTGGTTAAGGTACAGGGCATTTCCACATGGCCGACCACGGTTTGAGTCCCAGACTTGGCTTGCTTTCTCATTTTCCCTCTTTCTTTCTCTCTCTCTCTCTCTCACAATTTCTCTCTGTGTGTCTCTCTCTCTGGTCAAATTAAAATAAAATGAATGAATGAATAAAATAATTCTTTAAAAAAATAAAATAAGTCAGATGCAAAAGTCAAATTACCATAAATTTAACAAGTGGCATGGCGGTGTCAGGAGCTAAGGAAGAAGGGAATGGGGAATTACCCCTTCATGCGTACAGAGTCTCAGGGTGGGAAGCTGAACGTTGGTGTAGGGGTCAAACGTGAAACTCTACAAGGCAGATCCACCTGGGAGGGTTGTAGCTGGCGTCTGGAAGTGCCCAAGCACACCACACCAGTGTGCCCGGATTTGCGCTGGCCTAAGCTGGGGGTGGACTACAACGCCGAGACCCTGTCAGGGGTGCTGTACGCCTGTTTCCCTCTCTTTAACAGAATAATTTTTTTTTGAGAGGCTTTTGCTATAGGGTTTTTTTCTCACTGGAGAAACCCATACAGACAGACAGAAAGACCCCGAGGGAGGATGGGCATGCCCAAATCCCTTCTCCTCCATTCTCCTCTTGGGATTTCAGGCACGCATACATATGTGTCCGGTGTGAGTTTTAAGCTGCCGGCTCTGAGTCAACCATGTGGGGGTCTAGCACCATAACTACTATGCCACCTGCTAGCCCCCAAAAATAAAGTTTTAAAAACTTCTTTACAAAAGTTTCACTTCGGGATGATAAAAAAGTTCCAGAAGAGGACAGCTGTGTTGGTCGTACCACAATGTGAATGTACTTAATGCCACTGAACTAGACACTCCAGAACGCTAAATATGTTAAATGTATGTGTTAAATGTATTTTACCAAATAAAAACAAATGATTTGAAGTTACATGTTAGTTTGGGTAGGTGGAAGAAAAAAAACAGAATTCAGTTTACACCTATATGTCAACCATCACGTCTACACAGGGTATTCCTGATTTCGAATACCCCACCAAGTGAACTGAGCAAACACCGATGGTCCCACTGCCAGATCACACGCTCTGAAACTGGCCTCAGGAAATGTGGCTCCCAAACGCAGCATGGCCGTCTTCCAGCCCTCTGCTGTCCGGTACAGTAACTACGAGTCCTATGTGACTATAATTAAATGAACTAAAAGTCTCTGAAATTAAACGTTCGGTCCCTCTGTCACACTAGCTACAGCTCACACGCACCACAGCCCCAGGGGCTCATGGCCGCCATGGTGGACGGGGCAGATGCTGAGGAGTTCCCTCATGGCAGAAGGTTCCCCTGGACGGCGCTCTGCTAGACGCCACCATAAGCAGTGGCCAGTAAACTTCTTCCGAATTCTTTGGAGTGTGTGTGGGAGGGTGGGGAGGTGGGTCAATCCAGAAAGAAAACGAAGAGCCCATTACACTGACCGACCTAGAGGGGAAACAACCGGCTGACTAAACGTTCCAACTGACAATGACAAACAGGCACAGAAGGAGGGCCATCTTTATGAACGCTGCTTAACTTTAATGTGGTGAACAGAAGAGCGAGTTATGTCACCTTAGACGCACCAAATAGGAGCCTTTTAAAAAACAGAATCCCAGGGCCAGGTTGTGGTACCGCAGTAATGCAACTGGACCACATGGCATAGGTCCTGGGTCATATCCTGGGACCTCTCTGAACACCCTGGAGACATGCCCCAATCCCAGTTGATTGGGGATGGCTCCCAATATGAGGACCCTGGGGGAGGTGCTTGTCTCTCTCTGGGTACGTCTCTTTTCTCTTTTCTCTTTCTCTCATAGAAGAAATCATCTAATAAATTATTTTAAAAAAAGAGGACCCCACATTGGGAAAAATAATGTGAATATTTTCGTAGCAACTATACAGAATGCTGTGGAATTTTGAAATGAAAGTGACAGAGATTATATATAGCAACATAAAAATATACGCTGGTCGGTTAAGTAACACAGGAGACTATAAAGTCAGTTCTGGAGTGGATGCGGTTATGTATCAGCTAAGCAGAGACACAGATAATTACTCCAAGGGAACCCAAAAGGAACAAAAGCAGGTGATATATTTTAGAAGAATAAAGGGCCCTAAATAGAATATAGTAATACTGTTCAAGTATTGTGAAAATAGTAAAAAAGAAAGTAAATTGTCTTAAGTTATTCTATTTTTTTTTTTTTTAATTTGTCACTGGAGAGAGGGCTAGAAAGAGAGAGAGGGAAAAGTGAGAACACACCTCCTTAGGGAATGGTCAAGTAAGCCACAATCCCTTTTCTTCCATCTCTCCCTCCCTTTGGGATTTTGGGTATGCATGCACATGTGTGTGCCCTGCATGCATGTTTTTCAAGCCACCAGGTCCAGGACTTGAACCTCAAAGTGAACTATGTGGGAACTAGCCATCCCAACCACCATGCCATCAGCTGGCCTGTTCTTATACTTTAATAATGAAAGTTGGAGCTAGCAGATGGCATAAAGGTTATGTCCCAGGACTCCCACATGGATGACTGTGGTTCAAGTCCCAGACCGGTGGCTTGAAAATCACACCAGGGCATGTGTACGTGCGTGTCCAAGATCCTGGGAGAAGAATGGAGGAGAAAGGATTGCGGCGTGGTCGCCCCCCACTGAGGGGGGGGATGATTTCTCACTTTTTCTCTCACTCTCTCTCTCTCCTTGATGACCTAAGGCAAAAACCTCTACACACACACACACACACACACACACACACACATACACACACATACAATTGAAGTTTCTACTTTAGTAATGCCACTTGCATGTTGCCTTAATCCTAATTCATATACAGAATCCCAAGTACGCTCTGCATCCTACAGTCAGCTACTGCTTTAATAAAATAAATATGGGGTCTGGCTGCCTCACCCACGGGGCCATGTCTGTTCAATTCTACAATTTTTCATATAAGGTGTTTCAGAGTCAGGAGGATGGATAATTCAATTAGAAATACTTAAAAAAAAAAAAAAAGGCTTTCTACAGTCTTTTTGGTGAGTATTATTGCCAAATGCATATTTTGAGCATTTTATCTTAGAAAATAGGGACCAGCAGGTGGCAATGGTGGCTAAAGTGCTGGGCACTCCCTCATGGCTGACCACAGTTCAAGTCCCGGATTTGGTGGCTTGCTTTCTTGCTTTCTCGCTTTCTCTCTATATATATATCTCAAAATTAAAATAAGTGAATGAAAAAATAAAATTAAAAAAAAAGAAAAAGGAAAGGACAATTCTCAATAATATTAAACAGCAAGTCTGATGATGCAGGAAAGTTTTAGACTTCAATTCCATCGTTAACTTCTACATGGCAACATGTGTACTTTATGTACTACATATAAATCCACTCTCTCACATTTAAACACACACATGCTCAGAATCAATTCTTTAATGAGTTACTTACTATTTTCCTAATGCTGTAAATCACATGCATTCTTACTGAAGTTACAAATTACTGATTCCTTAAGAGGTTCAAATTGAAAAAGTTCTTATGGAGGGCTGGCCCTGTGGCCTAGCGGGTAAGGGAGTCAGATGCCACATGGCTGATCATGTCCTTCAAATCCCAGTCATGATGACTTGAAACTATGCCTGGCGGGGGCCAGCAGATGGCGTAGAGGTTAAGGCATTGAACTCCCACGTGGCTGACCACGGTTTGAGTCCCAGACCCAGAGACCTGAAACTCATCCCGTGCATGTGTGTCTAAAATTAAGGAATGCAATGTGGCCATCCCCCTTGGGGGATGATTTCTCGTTTTTTTTTTTTTTTTCTCTCTCTCTCTGTCTCTGTCTCTCTGGTGAGCGCACGTGCCCTATAGCATAGATCTCTAAAAAAAAGGAAAAACACATCAGGCACATGTGCATGTGTGCCCCAAATCCCAACAGGATAAAGGAGAAAGGACTGTGAAATGATCACATCGTATTTGGAGGTGGTTCTCATTCTTTCCTCTCTCTGGTGAGTGTATGCACTAACAGGCAAATAATTTACAAAGGAAGAAAAGGAAAAGAAAAAGGAAAAGAAAAAGAAAAAGTGAAAGAAAAAGAAAAGGAAAAAGGAAAAGGAAAAGAAAAAGGAAAAGAAAAAGAAAAAGAAAAAGAGAAAGAAAAAGAAAGAAAAAGAAAAAGAAAAAGAGAAAGAAAAAGAAAAAGAAAAAGAAAAAGAAAAAGGAAAAGAAAAAGGAAAAGAAAAAGAAAAAGAAAAAGAAAAAGAAAAAGTGAAAGAAAAAGAAAAAGAAAAAGGAAAAGAAAAAGGAAAAGAAAAAGAAAAAGAAAAAGAAAAAGAAAAGAAAAAGAAAAAGAAAAAGAAAAAGAAAAGGAAAAAGAAAAAGAAGGAAGGAAGGAAGGAAGGAAGGAAGGAAGGAAGGAAGGAAGGGCGGGCTTTTATTTTCTATGAAGTCAGGCATTTTGTTTGGGGGCAGCCCAGGGTTCTTCTCCCAGCCACATCACTAACTGATAGGCTCCCCATGAAGTCGCTCTACCCTCACCTCCGTTTCAGTTTCTTCATCGGTAAAACACAACCATGGAGAAGATACCTAGCACCTTCCGCCTATGACTGTAAGTCTCCGTCTCGGCCGGGTAACTCACCTCTCTCAACACGGGATCGGTGATGGAGTTCAGGTTGACAGCTCCTTCGTAGGTCAGGTAATAGAACACGTTGAGGGCTCGAACCGCCTCTGGCCCTTGCTGTTTGTAGCCAAAAATGAGGTCAATCCACTGGTGAAGCTGGCAGGACACAAATTCACTCTCCAGAGCCTGCAGAAAGGTGTAAATCCTATTATTAGGCTAAATTCTTTTTTAAAACTATAGGGAGATATTTAGAAGCAGTAACATTAAACACTAAAGTTACTGGGTTGTCAGAAGTCATGACGCGTTAAAACATGGACTTTTCTGATGAGCCAATGCTATGAAGAGAGACTTAAGAGGAAACAAACTTATTCTAGGGTCCTATTTTCTACCAGAATCATTAGCCCTTGTTTATAAGTAGAGACTGTCTAGCACCTGTCATTCTGAATTGTGGTAACTGCTGAAGTTTCAGGTTCTCCTACCACACTGCGCACATGAAGCCAGGACTGGGCCCATCTCGGTAGTCTGTAACTCAGGGCCTGACATGTACTCAGCTTATGCTTCAGTAAAAGTCACACAATGTACAGCACATGTGAAAACATGAAAAAAATCCACTATCCATTGGGCTAGTAAGTGGCGTGGTAGTTAAGGCGCTGGACTCCCACATGGCTGACTGTGGTTCAGGTCCTGGACCTGGTAGGTGGAAATTCATGTTGGGCATGTGTATGTGCATGCCCCAAATCCTGAGAAGAGGATGGAAGAGATGGGACTGTGGTGTGGCCATCCCCCCTAGGGGGGGTGACTTCTTACTTTCCCTCTCTCTGTCCATCTCTCTCTGGAGAGCATATGCGCCCTATGGCCAAAACCTAAGAAAAAGAATTAAAAAAAAAATCCACTAGCCACTTAAAATATTTACAATGCTTCTAGAAATAAAACATTTTGTTTTCTACTAGAATCACTGTAACCCAATTATTTAGTTAGTAAGTAAGAATTATTTAATTATTTAGTTAGTAAGACAGAATCTTTATACTAACAAATTAGATCTCAGGGAAAATACTTATAATTACGAGCTAGTATTCTAGGTATTAATAGCAAACCAGACTGAATATCTGATGCTATTTAACATAACAGCATCCAATAAATAATGAATGAACATAATCAAATATTCAGTTGAAATGCTGAGCACGTGAGCTACTTTTTTTTCTTCATTGTTACATTCCCAGTAACTAGCACGATGGCCTAAAATATAGTAGGTAGCAATCACTGCTTGCTAACTTTAATAAAGTTATAAATTCTAAAGACTTTTAAAAACCTGGCACTTAGGTTTTAGGAAGATATTTGCCCTTCCACTCGCTAATATTGTTCAGAATTAATCCGACATACAAGTTTAGCAAAGTGGGGAAAGAATAGAAGCAAAGATTTCGATACAAAAAAACTGTGGATGCTATGAATATGAACTCATTTACCAGCAAGTCATACCATTAAAATCAGGGAGTTCTCAAACTTGGGCACGCATGCACACACGCCAGCATGAGTTTAAGCCACTGTGTCCGGGACTTGAACCACGGTCGACTACATGGAAGACCAGCAACATAGTCATTACGTCAACTGTTGGTCCCGTCATCTGCTAGTTTTAAAACAAAGCTGACTAAGTTTTATAGCAAGCAACTAATGAGACAGAAACTTTCTTGTGGCACATGTTCTTATACACTCACAGGTGTACACAGGTGTACATATACGCTTTATTAAAATAAGTGCCTCTGGAACCAGCAGTTAGTGTAATGGCTATGTCGCTGGACTCCCATGTAGTCAATTGCGGTTTGAGTCCTGGACCTGGTGGCTTAAACCTCACACTGGGTGCATGTTCGTGCGTGCCCAAGATCCTGAGAGGAGAATAGAGGAGAAGGGATTATGGCGTGGCCATCCCCCCTGGGGGGTGATTTCTCGCTTTCTCCCCAAATCCTGAGAAGAGGATGGAAGAGATGGGACTGTGGTGTGGCCATCCCCCCTAGGGGGGGTGACTTCTTACTTTCCCTCTCTCTGTCCATCTCTCTCTGGAGAGCATATGCGCCCTATGGCCAAAACCTAAGAAAAAGAATTAAAAAAAAAATCCACTAGCCACTTAAAATATTTACAATGCTTCTAGAAATAAAACATTTTGTTTTCTACTAGAATCACTGTAACCCAATTATTTAGTTAGTAAGTAAGAATTATTTAATTATTTAGTTAGTAAGACAGAATCTTTATACTAACAAATTAGATCTCAGGGAAAATACTTATAATTACGAGCTAGTATTCTAGGTATTAATAGCAAACCAGACTGAATATCTGATGCTATTTAACATAACAGCATCCAATAAATAATGAATGAACATAATCAAATATTCAGTTGAAATGCTGAGCACGTGAGCTACTTTTTTTTCTTCATTGTTACATTCCCAGTAACTAGCACGATGGCCTAAAATATAGTAGGTAGCAATCACTGCTTGCTAACTTTAATAAAGTTATAAATTCTAAAGACTTTTAAAAACCTGGCACTTAGGTTTTAGGAAGATATTTGCCCTTCCACTCGCTAATATTGTTCAGAATTAATCCGACATACAAGTTTAGCAAAGTGGGGAAAGAATAGAAGCAAAGATTTCGATACAAAAAAACTGTGGATGCTATGAATATGAACTCATTTACCAGCAAGTCATACCATTAAAATCAGGGAGTTCTCAAACTTGGGCACGCATGCACACACGCCAGCATGAGTTTAAGCCACTGTGTCCGGGACTTGAACCACGGTCGACTACATGGAAGACCAGCAACATAGTCATTACGTCAACTGTTGGTCCCGTCATCTGCTAGTTTTAAAACAAAGCTGACTAAGTTTTATAGCAAGCAACTAATGAGACAGAAACTTTCTTGTGGCACATGTTCTTATACACTCACAGGTGTACACAGGTGTACATATACGCTTTATTAAAATAAGTGCCTCTGGAACCAGCAGTTAGTGTAATGGCTATGTCGCTGGACTCCCATGTAGTCAATTGCGGTTTGAGTCCTGGACCTGGTGGCTTAAACCTCACACTGGGTGCATGTTCGTGCGTGCCCAAGATCCTGAGAGGAGAATAGAGGAGAAGGGATTATGGCGTGGCCATCCCCCCTGGGGGGTGATTTCTCGCTTTCTGTCTCTCTGTCTCTGTCTGTCTAGTGAGTGCACGCACCCTATAGCAAAAATCTCACACACACACACACACACACACACACATGCACACACAAAAGTACCTCTGGACAAGGAAGATGGTTTTGTCTAAATACTAATAGTATATTTCCTTTAAAACATATAAAATGGCTTCACAATATATAACATACTATAGAACAGAAAACAGAACTCTGCCAATAAAACTCTAGGCCATTCTCCTGTTTCAAAGCATACTCGCAATGATACATGCCTTGAAGATACACAACTAGGCAAAGCGATGCTTTTAGACACCTCTTATACAATTCATTGTATTCACAAATTTTGTAAACAGATGAGAGAATACAGAATAGCTTCGTATTTTACTTGAAATAAGAGGGGGGCTTGTAGTAACTTTAAAATAAATTTTTACTTTAAGTACACAGACGTGACATTAATCTAAAAACCCAAGAACTGCTCATGACAGTTGCACACAAAAATGATGCGTTTGTTTCATTAACTTGGGCTTTGGATGGGGATGGGGGTGAAGGGAGGGGGACACGTTGAAAGTGACACATAAAAACAGCAATTGTCTTAATTTGTGTGCAGTGCACTCCACACAAAAGCTCTAAATATGTTCAAATTAGAGCAAGCTGCTTGATTGTCACTGCAGTCTCATGTCACATTAATGCATGACAAACATTAAACCATACACTTAAATGGCAATTTATATCATTTAAATGTTTACTGCCAGACTAGCTCATCACTCATTTAAATGTGACTTTGTGACAGCTAATTTCAGTTAATTTTCTCCAATTCACTTAATTAGAACTTTCAATCAGGGGACGACGTATACATCTCTTTGAGCTTACATCCTTTTTGGTTGTTGTTAAAATTTAAGTTAATAAACTGCTGAAAAGCTCTACTATAATAGATTAGCATATAATATCTCTAAGTCTACAAAAAAAAAAAAAATGAGGTTATAGGAAGCAACTCACGGTCCATAGTCTTAGAACCTCCACTTACTTATGTAAATAATACTCTTGCCAGTAGTTTAAATAAAAAATGTTTAGTTCATATACACACACTATTGAAACAATAAAAAAAAAAACCTGCATCCAAGCTAATTAAAAATTAATGATTTCAAAATTGTTTAATAAGATAAAACAACCAGGAGTCTCCGGAGTGTCTGGGATGTCGTGATGTGAGACTATAAAATTCTAGGAGGCTCAGCAAATGACAAAGTACAAATGAATTTTCTCAATATTAAAGCTCTAAAAACGAGGGCAATTTTATTTTATGTGTCATCAACCAAAGAATTGAGAGTTTTCCTAATGGTTGATTACTGCTTTATGCACATTCAGAAGGGGAAGTTGGTTAGATTTACATCCTTAAAGCTTCCTCTCTTGACACCACATCAGAATTTTAAGCAAAAATACTGAAAGGAAAGATTCTGTCTGCCCATTTCATGCTGCATGCAGGGACAACCTAAACCATGTGGGTCAGCACCGGCATTACATGCCACAGTGTTTCACAGATCAATCCCCAGGAGGGGACAAACCGGAAACTCACATCATTATTGGCAAAAACCTTCCCCAGAGGTTGATAAACACATGATCTTCATGAACAAAATAATTTTTAAAATTAAACTAAAAGTTTCACTAGTTGGCTTCAAGCTTTTCTTGGAATACACCAAAGCGTTAAAAGGGGCCCCTGAAGAACTGCAATAAATACAAGGCATGCCAAGAAGGGTTGAAATAACTTTAGTACGAAGTCAGTTGAGGACTTTAACATCCTTTGAGAAGCAATCACAATGGCTTAACCTAAAGTACAGATTAATAAATAAATCCATTTACTAAAGACTTGAGGGAAGAGAAAAGGAAAAAAAGGGGGGGAGGGGAGAAAATTAAGGGGGAATAATGCAAAAAGAAAATTCAAAATAGAATACCCTGGTTACATTTTATAACTTCCGTGTTTGCGATTTGAAAACATAAATCATAAAACGTGTATTAAACATTCCTTAAGA